GCCCCGGGCTGCGCGGCCGAGCCGGCCCCGGCAGAGGTGCTGGAGCAAGGCGGTTATACGAACGGGCGAGTGGTTTGTTGGAAACGAAGAGTTTAATTTATTAGGAATTAAGATGGGAGGTTTTGCTCTAACTGGGCTGTTTAATGGCAGTTTTAGGGTGGCCGCCTGCTCCTGCGGGATGTGGCTAACCACTTCTGGATTAGCAGTCCCCGTGGCAGGTTTGACCCGTCTTCTCTGTGTCAGTCGTATTCTGGCAAAGCTTGTGCACGTGGTTTAGTGGCAAAGCTCTGAAAACCAGAAACGCTGGGAGGAAATAGGGACTTTTCCCTAGGATGGAGCATCGCCCCCAGCCTGTCCCGGTGGGCAGCCCCGGCACCGTGCCCCTCCCAGCTCCTAGTGTGGGATTTTGGTGCTGCTCCGGCTCTCCGGGATGGTGTTGGGGACCGGCAGCGACCTCCAGCTCTGCCAGCACATCTGCGCTGGGAAAAGACCATTAATGTCACCAAAAGGTTTTTCCTTCTCTCTCCTTCCCCCCAGGACCTGCAGTCCAGGCGAGCTGTGCGGCTGGTCTTATTCCTGACTTTGCAAAACTGGCTGAGCCAAACCCAGCAAACGCTGAATTACTGTATCTGCGTGGCTGTGGCTACAAGAATTAGCTTAGCTTTATCTAATAAGGGGGTGACGATAATTTTATTTCCAAGGCAATACGTATACCTGAAGAAGGAGGAAACTAAACATAAAGCCAGCCTGAGTGCCTTATTCAGCAGAAGCACATGGACAGGCTTTATTACATCCAGTTGCGTAGTCAAATCCATTTAATTATTTAGTTCCCTTCAGGGTGATCAAATAAACTCCGAGCTGTTTCAGGAGGTGGATGTGGCGCAAATGCAGAAGTAGCAAGTGGGTATTAAACGGTGTTTGGTGTCAGAGCTAGGTGTGGTAACGCGCATCTCGCGGCTAGGGGTGCTTTGAGTTTGTTTGTGAGCTGCTAGCGTATAACCGAGCTGCAAGCAATGGAAGCTTTAAAGGGATGAAGTGAACCAGAGCTCTGGAGTCGGGGCTCAAAGAGAAAACAGCTTTTATAAGATGCTTTCAATATTTTGATAGTTAACATCCTAAGGGGAGGGGTTTGTGCCCTACAATAAAACTTTACAGCAGAAACAGTTCTTTATGAAGTTCTGTAGGTTCATTATTATTTTTTAAACCCCAGAGATGATTTAGTTTCTATTTTTAGGCCTATGGCATATCCTACTAACGTTACCATAACAGCTATGAAGAATGTTGGGTTTTGTTGCTTTTCCGGTCTTGTTTGACTTGGTTTTGACATCCCATTGACCGTGGGTCACAGCATACACCTCAGCCTGAATTTCAGCGTAGGTTCCTATGAGTTAAGGGCTGCATGGGTCTGTCTTCTCTCTGCTTGCCCCAATAACTTCTGAACTTGGCCCATTTCAGCCAAATTTGACAGAAGGATGACGACTGTGCAGATAATTAGTTTAATGTGAACTTTAGATATCAGGGGGCAGGTTAAGGGAAAAAGAGCCTTTTTGATATCCCTGGTGAGGCATGAGCTTACACTGCCATACACGTGCCTTTGCCGTATCAACTGCTTCAGAGCTTGCCTGAAGATTGTCCTTTCTGAGATTTTCTGTTTCTTTTTTAATTGCAGGGCTAGGGAGGCTTTTAAAACGTTTTTGACCCCTAGGCCAATAATTTAATCCATTTTGGGGGTTTTCTAACAGATGAGGAAAGCTGATGTTGGAAGGGTGAAACTTGCACTGCCGGATTTGTAACTGCATTTAACAAATAATGAAACTGCAACACACACACTCTCCTCTGTAGGTAATCCAGTTACACACAGTGGAAATTGCCTTCAGCCTGGGCCAGGCAGAGGTGGCTCCCGTGGGCTCACCCGGACCCTGGTGACTGGTGAACAAGGCAGAAGCCTGCGATTCACCGCGCTTCTCGCTTTAGCTGCTGAGAGAACCGGCTCCTGGGGGACAGAAGGGTCTCCGAGAGCCCATTTAAGAGCCGTTACATTGAATACGGTTCGGGTTCTGCAGGGGCTTCAATGCGGGTCGTGCACGTGTGTGTTCTCTGGAGAGCTAATGGCAGAGAAAGGCAGAAGATCTATTTAGTGTCCAAAATACCTGCAACTTTTTTGTTTTTTTTCCTCATCTTGGCTGTGTAATTTGCACATAGTAACAGTGGCAGTGGTCATCGTAAGCTCCTCGGTTTTGGGGTGCAAATCCGCTTAGTCTGAAAGCCTGCCTTGCACCTCCTGAGCATGCAAGAACGCAAATGAAGGCAGCAGGGAGTAGGGAGGCTTTTACTCTTTTTGATGCCAAAACACTAATCTTGGAAGTCCTTTTTAGAGAAAATTACCTAAAAGAACTTCTGGGGGGCTAGCAGAGTGCTTTACCTCAAAGGTGGAGGAGAACTGGCAGGTCGCTTTTCTCATCTGTCATCCGTGTGGTCCTTCTTGCAGGACACCATGATGTTCTTCTGGCTCTTTGTGCTGCTGGTGGTGGGCTGGAGTAACACGTCGGTGTGTAGTGGATGATGACCTGGGGTGAACCGGCAGCGTCGGTGACTGTAAACTGTAGGATAAGTGATTCCTTTATACAGAAATCTCAGCATAACTGGTGATTACAGATTGATTACAGGGGTCCATCGATTCATTAGAGATGCAGTGGTCTCGAAGGAAAAAACAGTGATAAATAAATGCTGCAAAATAAGCGGTCTAGACAAGGTCCTGAGCAACTTGATCTAACTTTGGTTAGCCCTGCCTGGTGGTATTGCTGTGTCTGCACCCCCCTGCTCAAGGACCTGCCCAGTGGCTATGGGTATGGTGGTGGAGCCCCGGTTGTCGTCGCTCTGGGCTTTGCGTAGGTCGAAGTGCGTGCTGAGGTCTCCCTGCTGCCATGAAGGGCGTTGCTGCAGGAGGGCCACTAGCCACTGCTGGTTTAACTGCATTGTTTCACCCTGGTGCTTCCCGGTGCCAGCTTTTCTGAAGAGATGACAGCAGCCGTTAGATCAGATTGACGAGGAAAATTTGCATTGATACCTTTAGCCTTTGCCAAAAGACCACTCGGCCCATCCCCAAACCAAAGCACAGCCCCAAAGTTTGAGCTCGGGTTTGCACGAGGGCTTGCTGGAGCAGAGGAGAAGCAGATGTGCAGCCGCCGCGACGATGGAAATGTGTTTCTTGTTGGGAAGAACCAGGCGCTGGGAGCGGGATCCCCTGGGACTTGTCCCAAGCCATGCTTTCTGAGGCAAGGAGCATCCGCGCTGCGGAGTGGTTCCCCTCGACTTGATGTGCTGTCGGTGCGTCAGCGTATCGGGGGGCATTTGCCCTTGTAAAGCTGGGAGGGGAGCGGGGGGATTGGCTGTGCAGAGGGCTGATGCAGTGGGGCTTTCGGCTGCTTGCGTTAGCCGGGCGGGCAGCTGCATCTGGGCAGGAGGAGAAAAGAGAAAATGAGGAGCAGAT